GGCAATTAATGCAGGAATATGAACCATTTTGATCGGACGGTCCGGAGAGCTTCCCTTGATCAGATGACGTTTGATGAACATTTGAGTGCCTTAACGATGTCAGAATTGAGCAATCTTGGGCTCGTTGGATTCGTCTTTTTGAGATGCTAGATTCGACTATAAACTCGCTAGATTCGACATCTGTTTGACCTTTCAAATGCCTCCAAAAATCCTGTAGTAGTGGTTTAATGACTTGATCCGAGTCTGATTTGACTCGGATTGGACTAACTTTTATATCATTAGGTCCGTTTCATCGAGCCGATCAATTTGACTATAATTTTGCTGAAATCAGAGTTCCGGATGACTCGTAATCGAAGTTTGAATGTTTGTGCTCAAAATATTACATCTAAATTCGTGCTGGATTATGATAATTTGTTGGTGGCGTATCAAACTTCGAATAGCTGACATTCATCCTAAACCCAATCACGTGTCGCCTGACATCCACATCGTTGACAAACTTCATACTATATGACTTACGGTTATATTCTCTTTTCTATGTATTTGAGGAGGTGACATCGATAAACTTTGAGTGTTAGAACTTTAAATACATAATATTTGGTTCTATGTAAAATCACCCTTTTCTTAGTAAATATATTGTAGTTTGAATTCCTTGCCTATCCTGCTTCGGCAGCTCATTTTCTTCAGCCCCCCGCCGCTAAAACCCTACTTTGGTCCCAAGTAGTAAGAAACAGTGCCAGGCAAGCGTAAAGCAAGAAACCTTCTCCTTCCGCCCTCGCCGGTCATGGCTCTCAGCAACCCTAAACTCTCGATCTACTCCACTATCTCTTCTTCCTCATCCTCCACCTCCACCTCCTTCCCGCCGCCGCGCTCCATCTCCTTCTCATTCCTCCTCTCCCCACGCCGCCGCCGCCGCTACCATACTTCTGTTTTGCAGTCCGTAAAGCCTCGCCCTCTCCGCCTCTTTGCTCGCACCCGTGACAGGAACTCCGATCCCCCGCCGCCGCCCCCTCACCGCCATGGCTCCACCGGCAAGCGCACCGACATCCAGAAGATCATGATCCTTGGCGCCGGCCCCATCGTCATCGGCCAGGCTTGCGAGTTCGACTACTCCGGCACCCAAGCTTGTAAGGCCCTCCGCGACGAGGGTTATGAAGTCGTGCTCATCAATTCCAATCCGGCCACCATCATGACGGACCCCGGCCTCGCGAATCGCACCTATGTCGGCCCCATGACCCCCGAGCTCGTGGAGCAGATCATCGCCGAAGAGCGCCCACATGCGCTTCTCCCCACTATGGGCGGCCAGACTGCTCTCAATCTCGCGGTCGCCCTCCATGAATCCGGTGCTCTTGCTCGCTATGATGTTGAGCTCATCGGCGCCAAGCTCGACGCCATCCGCTGCGCAGAGGATCGCGATCTCTTCAAAAAGGCCATGGCCTCCATCGGCCTTAAGACCCCTCCTTCCGGTATAGCTACGACCATAGAGGAGTGCGCCTCCATTGCGGACGAAATCGGCGGGTTCCCTCTCATCATCCGCCCAGCGTTCACCTTGGGAGGCACCGGCGGTGGCATTGCTTACAACCGCGATGAATTCGAGTCCATATGCCGCGCCGGACTTGCTGCCAGTATGACAACTCAGGTACTCATCGAAAAATCCCTCCTCGGGTGGAAAGAATACGAGCTCGAGGTCATGCGCGATCTTGCAGACAACGTCGTCATTATTTGTTCGATTGAAAACATCGATCCGATGGGGGTTCACACCGGCGACTCCATTACCGTGGCACCTGCGCAGACGCTTACAGATAAGGAGTACCAGAGGTTGAGGGATTACTCGGTGGCTATAATTAGAAAGATTGGTGTGGAGTGTGGGGGATCTAACGTGCAATTTGCAGTGAATCCGGTGGATGGGGAGGTGATGGTGATTGAGATGAACCCTAGGGTTTCGAGATCATCCGCTCTCGCATCTAAGGCTACTGGGTTTCCGATTGCGAAGATGGCTGCGAAGCTTTCAGTAGGATATACCCTTGATCAGATACCCAATGATATCACGAAGAAGACGCCCGCCAGCTTTGAGCCCTCTATTGATTACGTGGTGACAAAGGTGAGAGTTTTGGCTTTCTCATTTTTTTTCTTCATATTCCATTTTATATCTGTTCGTGCATCTTAATATATTGATATATTCTGTTTTTTTTTTAAATTATGAAGTGCATTGTTTATTCTTCTATCTTGATCTGCTAGAGAGCATAGTGCAGTAATTCTGATGCTCTGAAGCAGAAATCTGAATTTTCCTTTTGATTTGGTTTGCATTTCGTTTTTTTTTTAAATCATGTTTCAGGAATAGGGTGCTCTGGACACTCACGTGATTATTGATCTTTGCTGTTTATTTTAGGGGCCATTTGGCGTGAGGTATTTGTAGTGTGTTGCATTTCATTTCTCCTTCATTTCATTTTTTTGTTAATTGATTTGATGCGAAAGTAATAGAAAGTAAAGCTCGGAGAGATTTGAAAGACCACCAAAACCTCAATTTTATCTGCATCTGGAAATCATCTGAATTGATTTAGAGCAAAAGTAATAGAAAATAAAGCTTTGAGAGATTTCCAAATCTTGTCTCATATTTCTTGCCTCTTCTTCGTTTTGACCCCTTGCCTTACCCTCAAGTCTCACTCCTTTATCTTGCCGGCCCTTCCCGCTCCTTGTCGCACCACGTCTTCTCCTCTTGCATTGCTGGCCTTTCCCTTTGCTTCCTTTTCTCGCCTTTCACATCAACACCTTGCCTCTTGCATCATCGCTCTCCATAGTGTTGGAATTTCAATTCATTTGATCTTGTTAGAGGTGGAGCCTGGTCTGATTTCCCGCTCCTGCCTCCCGATCGCGAAACCTGTGCCTACTCCCGCCTTCGACCGCTCACGAATCATTGCGACGTCTCGCCTGGCGTTGATTCGTGAACAACAAAACCTCTCCCGTCTTCCTCTGACGCGAAGCGAAGCATTCCTTCGTTCCTTCATGTTCGTGATAAAAGCTTCGGATGACTCTCCTTCAGTTTTAGAAGTCACGGTTTGAGTTATTCTTTGGTTTCTTCGGGATAGAGGAATGTTTCCTCGGGGCAGAGGAAGAGAAGTGCAAGCGGTAGTTCTTTGAGGCAGAAGGAAGAAGAAAGAAGAAGAAGAGTGTTCTCCCTAGGCTTCTTCTTGATGACTTGTGACAGAAGAGAAATTGAGTTTATTTCTCTGGTAAGTTTATCTTTTTCGGTGTATCTCGGTGTAACTCAGTGTAGAGAGAGAAGAAGAGATAACAACGAAGTGAGAGTGAGAGATTCCTCTTGTCAGTCGAGGTGATCGACTGATGTAAATTCCTCTAGTAGTAAAATCCTCTGCAACTCAGTGGACGTAGACAATTTGCCGAAGCACTTAAATCTATGTGTTCCGCTGTGTTTTTTTCTGGTGTGATTTTTCTCGTTCTATTTTTCGCTTCGTCGATCGTTCTACTGTTTTATTTCTATAGATTTCATAACAACTGATATCAGAGCTTTGTTCGGATCTAAGGAAGAATAATGACTGCAGATGAAGTGAAGGTGTCAGAGATCGAGAAGTTTGATAACACATATTTTGATTATTGGAGGATGCAGATAGATGATTATCTTTATGATAAAAAACTTCATCTTCTGTTATTAGGGAAAAAACCTGAAAAGATGGATGATGTTGAATGTAGGCTGATTGGAATCTGTTGGATCGACAGGTTCTGGGGGTTATTCGATTAACTCTATCAAGGTATATTGCTCACAATGTCATAAAGGAGAGGACGACGACAGATCTTATGACAGCCTTATCAGGTATGTATGAAAAGTCATCGGCGAATAACAAAGTGCACTTGATGAAAAAATTATTCAATTTGAAGATGACGGAATGTGTTTTTGTTGCTCAACACCTGAATGATTTCAATATCATCACAAATCAATTGTCGTCTGTGAAAATTGATTTTGATAATGAGATATGTGCACTGATCTTGTTGGCTTCATTGCCAGATAGTTGAGAAATCATGATGATAGTAATTAGCAGTTCTACAGGTAAATTTAAATTAAAATAAGATGATATTCGTGATTTGATTTTGACTGAGGAAGTTTGCAAGAAAGATTTTAGCGAGGTCTTAGGTTCAAGTTCGACACTGAATGTTGATTTCATAGGGAGATGACATAACAAGAAATCAATATATGAAGATCAAAATCAGTTTAGAAAGCAGAAAACCTGTTGGAATTGTGGCAAGACTGGCCACATAAAGAATAACTGCAGGAAATAAGAATATGGAGAATGATAACGCAAATGTGGTATCTGAAGAATCACAGGATGCACTATCACAGAATCACAGGATGCACTATTGTTGGCAGTTCATAGTTTTGTTGAAGACTTGATATTGGATTCAGAGGCTTTGAATGTTTGCAGGGCAGTGATAGAAGTGAAGAGGAAAGTGGGTCCGGGGCACCAATTCCTATTGTTCTATAGATAGATATTGAAGAACCCCAGAACTATGAAGAAATCTTGCAAGATGAAAGTTCGGGCAAGTAAGAGCTGACAGAACTTTCAGCAAGGAAGAAAACATTGCACAACAAGTGGGCGCTAAAGCGCACATTTTTTTGGCATACACAAAGGATTCGACGCTTAAGCGCCGGCCTTTAGCGCTTAAGCGTCTAGTTTGCTGAGCGCGATCCTGAGATCTTGGCTCTCAGACACCAAATCTGGGTGCCAAAGCGCCCGGTACAATAACTCCGCTTTCTGGGTTTTTTAACTAATTTCGAGTGGTGTAATGATGGGCTGGGTGTAGGTCTTTCTTTGGTGTTCTTCAACAAATTCTGATGAAGGAGAGAAAGATTGGAGAGGAGGATTTCTGGGATCTCAGAATGTGTTTTTCGCGTCTGATCGGAGAATGAAGATTGTGGAGCGTCTTGTAAATTTCTTTGTGTAAGTGTGGAGAAAAAACTTGTGTGAGTCCTTTGTAAAACTATCTAGTTTTCATAGTAAATTTGGGTGGTGTGGCTCTGTGGTTTTTCCCGTTCTCTGGTTTTTCCATGTAGATTTTTGTGTGTTTTTGTCTGGTTGTTTTGATTTTGCTTTTGTGCTTAAATTTATTGTTATGGTTTTCTCGCGTCCTGTGATCCTATTCCACGGTGAAACTAAAAGGAGATTCTTTTAGAGTAGTTTCTCCTAATATATTATAAGGAAAAACTCCAAGGAGAACTCCAGAATAACCTAGAAAGATCTAGGGCTATGTATGTATATAAGAGCATAGTGCACAACTATCTATAAACTAGATTATTCTAATGTAATATAGAAAAGTTTCTTAGACTTAGAGGGGGTCTCCCCCTCATTTGGAACCATCCAAGATTACCAAGTATCCAAGTGTTATAGTCACTTTTTCTTAGTGAAGTGTTTCTTTTTCCAATACTTCTTCCAACTCTTCTTTCTAGAGTATTTTGTGCTTACAAGTCTAAGCATCGTGAGAGGTCGATTTAGTGGCAAGTAAGAGCGTTGAAGCTTCACGGGTGACTTGATATAAGTTAATCCGTGACATTATGCTCTTCTTGTTGTCCGCTTCTCTATTTCCTTATGGCATCAGAGCAAACTGGAAGATCTTGTCTACATGTCACAACCCCATGGTTTTACAATCCCTCAATACCCTCACCATGTTTGTAAACTAACAAAAGCTATTTATGGCCTCAAACAAGCCCCAATTGAACGGTACTCCATTTTTTTGCAACTACCTCATCCATCATGGCTTCAAACATACAGTTGATCAGTCCCTTCTTATTAATCAGCACAACAACATCGCCATCTACCTATTAGTATATACATGAATGATATCCTTATTACTGGCAATTTCACCACAGACATTACGAATCTCATCCACGCTCAACAAAGAATTCAGCCTAAAACATTTGGGACCTATCTCTCACTTCCTAGGTCTCTTCTTATATAATACCACCAAGCTCACCAACCTGCTGCAATTCTCAGGATTGCTCGATCCTAGATCTATCCTTGCGGATCTCACCATTCTACTACCAAAACCACCACCTCTCAAATCAGGAGCTACACCACTACCTGATCCTTATCAATGTTGTCGCCAATTCACTGTGATGGCATCTCAACAATAGCTCTAGCTCACAACCTGGTATTCCACGACCGTGCCAACAACAACGACCACCTTTATCCCACTAAATGGAGTCGGCTTTTTTTCATGTAATGATTTTTCGACAAAAAAATTATGTGTTGTTGACTACCTAATGCAACCCACCGCTTTTCGCATCCAGTGCTTGGGACCCGACAATAATAATGTTATGTTCCACGCCTGCACCAAATACATAAAAATGTATTACTGCTTTATCAAGAATCATTTAAAATATAGGGAAATCAGCATCCAACACATCATTTCTTTGGATCAAACAATCGACATCTTCTCCAAGCCTTTGCCAACAGCCAGACGTCAACAGATCACAAACAAGCTAACAATCCGCTACTTGGATCGTCATCGTACATCAGAGGTTATTTTGGGAGTACAGGGGAGTTATATCCGGGTTATACCGGAGGTTACAAGGGGGTATAACCCAAATATAACCCCATTGTACCCCCTGAATAACCCCTGATGTACGCAGCGCTGCGTACATCTTATGTACGCAAATATTTCTCCATCTTGAGGGGGATAATAAGCCCTCTGTCTCCTTTGCCACCCGCAGCTCGTGAGAACAGTGGTCCCAAGTAATAAACCTAAACACAAACTGTAGAGATACAACAAACATATAGCTAAAGAGTTGGGACTTATTCCAATTTGCCTTTTTGTGGTGTATGTTCTGTAGCCATGCATTTCAATGGGCACAACCTAGATTATTGTTTACAATTTTTTGGTAGAAATGCAAAATTGTTGTTTTGCATTGAACCCTATTAATCCTGACATGTTTTTTATTTTTATTTTTAATGATAACCACATCATGTAAAGACTATTTCTAGTACTATATGCAATCTAATTGAATTTTCATTCATATAACTTATCCTGATTTTTTTTTTTATTTGCACAAACGTTGTAGATCCCACGCTTTGCTTTCGAGAAATTCCCTGGTTCTCAGCCGATACTGACCACCCAGATGAAATCTGTCGGCGAGGCAATGGCTTTGGGGAGGACCTTCCAAGAGTCCTTCCAAAAGGCCGTTCGATCTTTGGAATCCGGTTACGCCGGCTGGGGCTGTGGGCCCCTCAAAGAACTTGACTGGGACTGGGAGCAGTTGAAGTACAGCCTTCGAGTTCCCAACCCTGATCGAATCCATGCCATTTATGCGGCCATGAAGAAAGGAATGAGAGTCGAAGAAATTCATGAACTCAGCTTTATTGACAAATGGTTCCTCTCCCAGCTCAAAGAGCTTGTAGATGTGGAAAATTTTCTACTTTCCACAAGTTTAAATCAACTTACAAAGGATGATTTTTATGAGGTGAAGAGAAGGGGGTTCAGTGATAAACAGATTGCTTATGCGACAAATTCGGATGAGAAAGAAGTACGAAAAAGACGAGTTTCTTATGGCGTGCTCCCGGCATATAAGAGGGTAGATACTTGCGCCGCCGAGTTTGAGGCAAATACTCCATACATGTATTCATCCTACGATTTTGAGTGCGAGTCGGCTCCGACTAAGAGGAAAAAGGTTTTGATCTTGGGTGGTGGACCGAACAGGATCGGCCAGGGGATAGAATTCGATTACTGCTGCTGTCATGCATCATTTGCTCTTCGTCAGGTTTGGATATCTTTGAATTCCAATATTTATGTCAGTACCGTAGTTCATGCTTCTGTTGCTCATTACACACAAATTCGAGGCCTTTACTAGCTTAAAGAATGGTTTTTTTTCAATATTATAAACCTTTTTCGAAGATTTATATACATATTAGTCAATTCTTATGTATTTACATATCTAACACCTAAACTTCAATATTTACATGAAAAATTTACATATGTAGCACACAATTCCTATGTGTTTGCATATTTTACACCTAAATATTCATATTTACATACATAGCATTTTAGTTCTTTAAACCTTTGCATGAAAATGTGAATTTAACTTTTTTTAAAGTAATAGTAGTACTATTTTTGATGTGATATTATAGATTTGAGTGCTATGTGTGCAAATATGAAAGGTTAAGTGTGAGATAGGAAAATACATAAGAATTATGTGCTATATATGCAAATGCCCTTTTTCAGCCGCATACCACCTTACCTATGATTGAAAACATGTATTTCACTTCTTAAAAGTTAAAATGATGGTATTTTTTATGTGCTAGGAAAGATTTGAGTGTTATTAATGTAAAAAATCAAAGTTTTGGTGTTAGATATGTAAATACATAGAAATTGGATATTTTGTATGTAAATGTCTCTGCATTTTTATTTTTTTTTATAATTTTAGGATTCTTTACTTGCTTAAAATTGTATGTTTCAATATTATATAAATTTTTGGAAGATATACATACATATCACTCAATTTTTGTGTATTTACTTTTCTAACATCTGCCCTTCAATTTTTTTTTTTTTATACATAACACCTTTACCTATGATGCATGAAAATATGTATTTAACTTTTTAGAAGTTAAAATGGTGCTATTTTTGATGCGATATGAAAGATTTGTGCAATATAACTGTAAAAAGCAAAGTTTAATTGTTAGATATGTAAATACATATAAATGGGGTGGTATGTATGTAGATGCCCTACATTTTTTTTTTTTTTTTGATAATTTTAGCATTTATTTTCTTTGATACCAGCGCTTTGATATTACATTTCAAAGTTTAACAAGTTCAGTTTTTTTCAATCGCTTGCACTGTATTTACATGCCTTACGCCTGAACTTTCATATTTACCCACATACCAATCACATAAAACATAACTCTATCATCATTTATATGTATGTAAATATAAAAGTTTATTACGTGAGTTATGTAAATACATAAGAAGCATGTGTTATTTAAGTAAATTTTCCTTGTTTATACTGTGATAAATATTGTCAGCTACTGATTCTTAATTGCTGAAAAATGCTTGTTTTGATTCAGGATGGACATGAAACGATCATGATGAACTCGAATCCAGAGACCGTCTCGACCGATTACGACACAAGCGATCGTCTCTACTTTGAACCCTTGACAGTGGAGGACGTCGCCAATGTTCTCGAGATCGAGCGGCCTGATGGAATTATAGTGCAGTTCGGGGGCCAGACTCCTCTGAAGCTCGCCGTCCCCATACAGCATTATCTGGAAGAGAACAATTTGATGTCCGCCAGCGGCGCCGGTCCAGTAAAAGTTTGGGGAACTTCGCCGGATTCGATTGATGCCGCCGAGGATCGAGAGAGATTCAATGCAATCTTGAACGAGCTTCAGATCGAGCAACCCAGAGGCGGGATAGCGAAGAATGCAACTGATGCCTTATCAATCGCCTCCAATATAGGTTACCCCGTCGTCGTCCGGCCGTCATATGTCTTAGGTGGAAGGGCGATGGAGATTGTTTATACCGACGAGAAGCTTGTTCAGTATCTCGAGACCGCCGTCGAAGTTGATCCCGAGCGACCGGTACTGATCGATAAGTACCTTTCAGATGCTACTGAGATTGATGTGGATGCAATGGCGGATTCTGAGGGGAATGTGGTCATTGGTGGTATAATGGAGCACATAGAACAAGCCGGAATCCATTCTGGCGACTCGGCTTGTTCTCTTCCTACAAAAACCCTATCGAGGAATTCCCTCGACGTAATCCGTTCATGGACAACGAAACTCGCGAAAAGACTCGGAGTATGTGGTCTCATGAACTGCCAGTACGCCATCACAGCCTCCGGCGATGTCTATCTTCTCGAGGCGAACCCTCGGGCCTCCCGCACGGTTCCCTTTGTTTCCAAAGCCATTGGCCATCCTCTAGCTAAATATGCTTCTCTGGTTATGTCTGGAAAGAGCTTACATGATATAGGATTCACCAGTGAGGTGATCCCGAAGCATGTTTCGGTCAAGGAAGCCGTTCTTCCCTTCGAAAAATTCCAAGGTTGCGACGTGCTTCTCGGGCCGGAGATGCGCAGCACCGGAGAAGTCATGGGAATAGATTTGGACTTCCATGCCGCATTCGCGAAGGCGCAAATTGCTGCTGGTCAGAAGCTTCCTGTGGATGATAGCAAGAAGACAGTGTTCCTCAGCTTGAACGATCTAACCAAGCCCCACCTTGCATCCATCGCTGGAGGATTCTTACAACTAGGGTTCCGACTCGTCGCAACTTCCGGCACTGCTCGGGTGCTTGAGCTGGAGAACTTACCCGTGGAACGTGTTCTAAAGATGCACGAGGGTCGACCCCATGCTGGCGACATGTTGTCCAATGGTGAGATAGACATTATGGTGATAACCAGTTCCGGCGACGCCTTGGATTCCATAGATGGAAGACAGCTGCGAAGAATGGCACTGGCATGTAAGATTCCATTAATAACCACCGTCGCCGGAGCGCTGGCGACTGTGGATGCACTGAGGAGCTTGAAGCTTAACCCAATAAAGATGCTGGCTTTGCAGGACTACTTCGATTCGGCTGTAGAACAAGTTGGTTTGAGAGCTGCTTCCCCTGTTGTTTAGGTTTCAATTTCTTGAGGTAATTCTCATCCCATCTTCGATTCATCTTTCTCTTAGAACTTCCATGAGCAGGCATTTTGTTGTCATCATAGCATATTTGTTTTACTTTTTTCTCATGCTGTTTTATCATTTTTGTTTTGATGATGAATTGGTGGCTTGTTGGTCTTTTCCTTGTGTTGGGCTTAGGATTTTCAGAGTAGATTTAGGGTCGTAGAATAAACATTTCTTCGCTAAGCAAATGAGTGGGATTTGATTATCTTTTTAGACGAACATGAATAATAGTTTGTTTGGTTATGTTTGGCTTGATAAGAGCTCGATTATGATGCATTTATATTTTAAGATGTTAGAGTATGCAATACTAAACACATATAGGATATCACATTTGCTTGACACTTATTTAACATGTTTGTTTGATTTAAGAAATATACGTGCATATTCAACACACGTATCACTAGGGTTGTTAACGAATTGAGCTGGGGCCAACTTGAAATCGATTTGAATAGATCGAGTTCGGATCATGGGTTGTTTTGTTCGTTTTCGAGTCAGCTCGGCACAAAATTGAATTGAGCTTGATTCAACTCTAAATCAAAATGAGCTTGCTCAAATTTAATTTATTTGGATCCGTTCCAGGTCAAAATTGCCTCGAAATCGAAACAAGAGGGCACATATTAGGTTATTTGGATCTATTCTAGCTCTAAATCAGCTTGTAGCCTGTCATATTCAATTTTATGTAGCATTATATATAGTTTTTATAAATGAAAAAAATACTTCGAGATGATCTTGAGCTAGTTCGCGCCGATCCGTGTATGGCTCAAAATCGGCTCGAAAAAAAATTGGTCCAAAATTTTGGCTTAATTTGTTTATTTTGATTTGATTTCAATCTGAGCTAAAATTCAAATCAATTTTCGAGCTATTAACGATCTTTGAGCTAACTTCACAGCCCTACATATCACAGTTTGAATGAAATAATGTTGTTTGGAATATGAAAACTAAAGAGGAGTTAAAGAGTGATGAGACTCAATTAGACTTAAATAACTCTAGTTAGGTTTAAGTGTCTTCTATATAATGGATTGACTGGGCCGGGTCAAGGTTGGGTCAAGCTCACTAGTAGATGCTCTATGATAGGCTCCCCTAAGGGTTTGATTGACTAGTTTTGGATTATGATTAACAAACAACACTAAACAACACCAAAAATATTGTATTTAGATGTGATATTCTTCAAAATTGCATAGCCTTTTGAGGCCTTCGCAATAATTGCAAGCTACACCTAATTCTAGCATGAGTTGATGATGGGTTTTTGTAGGAGTTTTTTTTGTTATTTGAAATCAAGGTTTGAATTTTGTAATGTGGCAATTAAATTTTAATTTTATAACTATATTTAAATATTTTTTTAATTTTATTAAATTACATATAAAATTTATAAGTATGCCAAGAAATTTTTAAAAATATAAATAATTTGCAAAATTTAATTTTCATTATTTTTTTAATGTATAAAATCATATTTTTTAGAGAAACATTTGAGTTTGAGCTCAAGCGAGTTTAATTTTACAAGTTCGACTCGCTTCACAAGCAAATTCGTTTACTATGAAAAAAGAAAATACTGTTAATTCAAATTAGTGCTATAATAGAATGCAAAATTATGATATAAATAATAATAAATCATTTAATATAAATAATAATTTTTTATATTTATATAATTCTTTAAAGATTAGATTTTGAATTTTAATATTCTTTGAGTATATTATTTTATTAATTTTTTTTAAAACAAGCCAACTAACGAACTGTTGAGTCAACTCGAGGCTGACTTGAGCTCGGCTTATTAGCTCATAAAAATCAGCTCACGAGCCACTTACCAAATCGAGTTTGAGTAGATTCACGAATCAGCTTGACTCAGCTACACCTCTAATTGAATTTAGAAATTATTTGAAAATTATTTTTTTTAAAAACATTTTTTTAATTTATTGAAATTAGAAAAAAAATCATACAAACAATATTTATTTATGTTGTGCAGATTTTGGTCAACATCAAATTCACATGCCTCATATTACATGTATTAATGTATTGGGTGCACGTCTATTGTAAGGTCACGTAAGAAGTTGTCTTACGTGGCTCCGTTGGCTACCATTTCGTTAGCCTTCATTTGTCTTTGTCCCGCTTGTCCTACTTATTAAGTGACACTTTCAATTTTTTGTTAGATATTTTATTTAGTTTAAATGAACGCCCACCATCCAAATTAGATTTTTGGTATTAGAGGATGATAGTGTTCAATGATGATATGTCTGTGGATCACGTCTCGAAGATTAGAGCATAAGAAAGAGGAGATAGACGCAAGGATAGAGAAATGAATTGTCATGAATAGTAAGAAGTCTCGTCTATTGGTCTTTTCTCATAAAATGATTTACCTATTTATGGAAGAGATGATACAATATGTGATGTTATATTTCATCCACTGCTTTAATGGGGGTTGGACAAAATATTTTAGGTATTTTAATTGTATGAGCGTGTTATTCGGTTGCCTTATGTCTCGGTCAGTTGGGCTAGCATGGCTTTGGCTTGGTAATGTCGTTTTGGTCGGCTAGGCTAAGTCGTGCAGTCGGTCGGCTATACTTGATTAGCTTCAGGTCAATAAGGCTGACTCAATCGACTGGACTTTTTCAATCGATTGATAGACCCTTTTTCCTAGATGAGAAGTTCCTCTTGACAAAACGATAGTAGATTATTGAGTAAAAAGTGAAACACTGCAACCAAATATATAACTCATTTCTTAATAAGGGAGTCCTCCGGGATGATTGTGACGCTCTATTGTATTGTCAATTATTTGTTTTTGATGGGGAACCTTAGAGGGGGGTCGGTGGGATTATTGGTCATATTGAGGAAGTTGATTTTTTCATGGGGTAGGATATATCAAGAGTTAGGTCGATGCACTCACTTAGCTTTCCAGTGGCAGTTAGCTCTGGTGTTTACCTGTCTTGTTTTAGCCCGATTAGTTAAAACTCAGATCGTTTTTTTTGTCCTTCTCCTAGTTTGATTAGTCTTCGTCCTTTACACAAATGGCTACATAAAATGTGATGAATGGACCTCTTTGTCAACTAAACAAAAATATTAAAAATATAATAGTCCAAATATTAGTATATAAAGCATATTTTCTAATATTTACAAGAACTAAAAACAATTAGGAAGTTTTACATATATATACCGCACTCAATTTAGATGCGTATTTTCACATGCGACGATCAAACCATTGAGAATTAGATAAATATGAAAAATATGGGTGGGATTTTTAATTTGATATAATTTTGATATTTGAGCGTGAATTTGAAAAATGAATGAAAAATGATGGTTAATTTGTAAATATCAAGTTTTGAGTGGTCTGTGCGTAATTGCCCCAAAAAATTGTTGAATTACTTAAACCCACATGAACCGAATCTTATGAATAGTACGCAACCGATTTCGCAGCCGTTCAACTCTCCCGATCATATGAGCAGCCAGAACGAAGGGAGGAATTCGAAGGAAGCATTCTCGAAATCGCCGCACACGGAGGGCGGAACAGAGGGTGAATAAGATCTTCCCTTCTAGCTTTGTCTTCATCTTCATCTTCATCTTCATCATCTTCTAAACGGCGGGTTTACCCGCGATCGATTTAGATCTCTTGTTCTAATCGCGTATCGATTTCCATAGGCTTTCTCTTCGTTTAGTGATATTGGAGCTTAAGCCCTTGTCCGATCGATCTTGCGTGCTCTCTCTGTTGATGAATCTTATCTTGGTTTCGGATGCGAAGAAACCTTACGCGTTTCTTGGCAATCACAAGCTCCCCGTGTTCAGGCCTTTCCACTGGGGAGTTTTCCGTTTCTGTCTCTCCCGAGATAGATGGGATAAGGAGTTTGCGAAATTGCAGGCCGGGTGATTTAGGTTATGCTTGCTCTTCTTCCTGTGCTGTCGTTTGTTGGGGTTAGATTATTTTCTGGTTAGGTAGATATGGAATCTTCGCAGGGGTCGACGCTGACGCCAGCGACGGCGGCAGGTGCAGCTGCTGCCGATGTCGACATCTGTGTGGTAGATCTGCTGCCTGTTTACGTCAAGGAGCTTATTGCTGGAGGAGCAGCTGGAGCGTTCTCAAAGACGGCTGTGGCTCCTCTCGAGCGGCTCAAGATTCTCTTGCAGGTTTGAATGATTGGTTACATTTTTGTAAGGTTTTTTGTCTCGACGTTGCCGTGATCTTTGTTCGATGTCCTTTTAAAATTTTATTTGAATTGATAGACGAGGACAGATGAGTTCAAATCTCTTGGGATATTGCGATCAATGAAGAAACTGAAACAGCATGAGGGTATATTGGGGTTCTACAAGTGCGTCGTAATTTATTCTAGAGTTTTTTATGCTTGGATTTCTCAATTGATTGGCGGTTCTTATTGTTTTATTTTTTTTATTATTTTTTTTAGAGGAAATAGCGCGAGTGTCCTCCGAATAATGCCTTATGCGGCATTGCACTACATGACTTACGAACAATACCGGTGTTGGATTCTAAATAATTGCTCATCATTTGGGACTGGATCAGTGGTTGATCTCTTGGCTGGCTCGGCGGCTGGAGGGACTGCTGTTTTATGTACTTACCCCTTGGATTTGGCTCGGACTAAACTAGCTTATCAGGTAATTCATCCGTTTATCTATGATGTTCTAACATTTTTCATATTTTCCAGCTTATCAGGTAATTCATCTGTTTATTTATGATGTTTTGACAATTTTTCGTATTTTCCAAGTGTTATTTAGGATATCAGAACCTTTGATTTCTACAGGTTCTTATCTATTTACATATCTAACACCTATACTTCACTTCTTACATTTATACCACCAAAATCTTTCATATCACATGAAAATACCACTATTTTTTAACTTTTAAAAAGAGGAATACAACTTTTCATGATTAGGTAAGGCAGCATGTATGTAAAAATTGAAGTTTAGGTGTTAGATATGTAAATACATAAGAATTGAGTGGTATGCATAGAGATCTTCCTATATTATTATGTGTTTTGCTCTATGGTCACGCATAGTGCACTTACATGCTGAATTATTTCCTTCAAAATTTTTGAACCACGAAGTTGTTGTTATGATCAGAGCTTCATTCTCTGTAACGTAGATTATTAGTCAAAAAAACCTATCAGTTTGTGGTTCACATGATGTAGATTTTTTTTTTTTTTTTTTTTTTTTTTTTTGATTTTGATACATAATGCTAATGTGATATGAATGATTCAGAAATGAATAACTCCATAAATTATTGTTTTTTTAGTGTGAAGAGACTATTATACAAAAATATGGATAATAAGTTTTATGACAAAAGAAATAATGTTTATAATATATTGATAGCATTTATAATTACTAGATTGGATAACCAGATGGAAAAAAAAAACTATCACCATTGTTAGCCCCATGCTCGGAAGAGGAAGGTTGAGGAGGTTAAGTCAATGGTTTGATATAAAATATATACCAAAATTCATGCATAATCCAAAGAATATGAAAGATTAATATGCATAGCTACTCAGTTCCTACGTATTTACATATCTAACATCTAAACTTTAATTTTTATATGCATCTCACCTTACCTATGCATGAAAAGGTGCATTTCACTCTTTAAAAGTTAAATTGGTTGTATTTTTTATGTGATATATAAGATTTGGGTTTTATAAATGTAAAAACTAAATTCTAGGTCTTAGATATGTAAATACTTAGGAATTAGATGGTCTGTATGTAAATGCCCCAAAGAATAATTTTGCTAGTGTTAGGGTGCTCTTCAGAAGTGATGCATAATGTCCAAACCTGATTGTGGTGAGAAGTAGCAAAAATTTGCGGGATATCATTTTTTAAGTGATGTACAACAAGTCTATTTAATTGTTATAAAATTATTGTTGGTCTTGATTCATATAAAGCTGTTAAAGGTATTTATAAACGAGTATTGATCAACGTTAGATTTGCTGGTGAGTAGCTAAAGAGTTTTTAGTTATAATAAGATTACATCAACATAAACTTATAGAATTCATATTTTTCTAGGATTGGCTATAGATATTCTTACACAGACAATATTGAAAAAAAAAAGTCCTAGTTACAGAGGCATGTCACAAAATTGGAATTGATAATGAATTAATGTCTAGAAAATAAAGGGATTAGTAGTAAATATATGTTGTGTATATTGTATGTAATTTGATTTTGATAGTGATATTACTTGTCAACATGATTGAAACATAAAGTGATACCTATATGTAATGGATTTAAGTGTCTTGAATGATGTGTATTTCAAGGTTTAAAATTGTGCAATTGGATATTGTGTCATTTTGAGGCATAGGTTTCAAATTAAAAAATTTGCATAAATTAATAAATATTGTATAAGATACGAAGCGTGAAGTAAGAAAAAAATATTCTAACTTTTTAACAAGTAAAAATTAATATGACAATATTTTGACTAAGTAAAAAATTAGAAGGAACACGTTAATATCGTATCATCAAATCATGAATAAGATGAGTTATACAAATATTAAACTATTAAAATAAAACATTAAAAATATTAAAACATAACAATCAAAATAAGTTGAGCATAAATATTTCTCTCTCATTTATACTACCCCCGCTTAAACAAGAATATAAAAGTTCATCAACATTTGAAATTTTAAATTTAAAAGTTCTTATTACTCTCTCACCCTTTTACTTTTCATTAGAATTATCGACATAATGAATTGTTCATCTCGCCTTATCCTTAGTTTTATTTTCTCATTCCTCATTATATTAATTAATAATCATCAATAAAAGATTATTGCAAATAATATTTATGGTGATAATTAAAATTCTAATCACATAAATTCTTATAAATATATTTTTCTTTCATTTTTTTAAATTTAGTGCTTGAGGTGTGAGAGTTAATAGGTGCGATATATTTAAAGAAATCCACAAAATTTTGTGTCTTTTTTTGAGGCAATGTGCGCCTCTGATTGGGTGAGGTGTAGGCCTTATCTTAGGATAATAAGGCGTAAACCTTTTTGTTATTTTTTGTAGAAAAACGTTAAGGCGAGTCTCATGGCGTGTCTCATATTGCACAATTTTTAATAACGGTGAATTTATATGATGCTATAATTCTTAACTAAAGATTTTGTTGTCAAAATGGGGAAGTTTCCCATGACTTTTATCTGATAAAATATTATTTAAATTTAATGGTAAATTTTATCAAAGTAATTAAATCTGCATTGTTATATTAAAGTTTTGAACCCTAAATAACTCATTGATGATCAAATTTAATGAAGAATAGATCATAATGTTAAAATTTATATGTTGTAGAATTAGGAAGGATGGTATAAGTAACAATTTTATAGAGTGGTAGTGGGAGTATGATAATGATATATTAAAGATAAGGTAGTGGAAAGTGAACTTCTTTATCTGGTAAGATCTCCGTCGCATTTTGAAGATATCTAAAACATCCCCCATAGCTCCACACCAAAATGAACCAATCACATCAAGAATCTATGGTCTACCAACACTCTTTAGCATAAATACAAATTTGATGTATTCGTTGTTGTCATGAAGAGTTTAGATGGAGGTCGTGCCAAATAACACAGAAGTTGGGGCACATCAAAATAGATGTATGAAAAAAAATGTAGTCAAAACTTTTTTTTTTTTACATTAGGTGATATTTATCCTTTCATAAAATTTAGGAGTTAGAAGAAAATGTCAAAAAACCCACACAGACTTCCCCAAATTTACAATCACTTTGCTTTTTGGTTTGCCAGTGTACACAAGTGTTATGTGGTTATAATTTTTGGTGACAATGGTATGATGTGGTTATAGAATATAAACATTAAATTGCATACTTAAATCACTTTGTTTACTATACTAATAATTATTTTACAAAAATTATATATTTTGTATTATATACTACCCTATAATTTTGCTAATTTTATTGTTTGAACTCAACATCTAGCAATAAAATAATACAATTGAGCTGATGAGAACATTAGAGATCATAAAATAACAGACAAACCGCACAATGTAGGTTTTTTACATTATCTGGTCATTCGAGATCATAGCCAAATAAAATAGCTAATAAAAAAAATAGATATGGTGGTTCAAGTTATGCTGGTTAAATATCATATTATTAAAATATAATATAAAAGGCACCTAAATGATACTTTTCTAACTATTTGTAAAAAAAAAAGAGTTTAAATTATCCTTATGAAGTTTTGAAACATACGAGCATTTCATTTATTTATGCAAGTTATATACTTAAACCGCACAATCTAGTTTTTTATGGTTATAATCATATGAATGTTTAGCTGTTACATATGTAAATATATAACAATTGTGTGGTATGGATGTAACTTCCCCAAAATAGCAACGTGTGGGGACATTCCAATAAGCAAATGGTGATTGACTTGTGTTGAATCCTTTTAGGATGGATAATCCCGTATAATCCATGAATCCATAAAATTGGGAGAGACTTTGTGAAAGAGGTGGAAGGGAGCTGAAAATTTTAGAGTCTTCTCTCTCATTTGTGGCCAAGAAAAAGGAAAAAAAATCCTCTCTTCTCCCTCTTTATCTATTATTTATAAATCATTGAGCGTATGTGCTTACGCAAGGCTCTAATAAATAAATAAAAGATTATAATATAAGTCGTATTTTACGGGACCTACTGATAACCACTGTTGATATGATTCTCGCATGGATGTTAGTCGACCAATAAGAAAATTTAAGAAGATTTACATATCTACCACTCAATTGTACATATTTACATATCTAGCACCTAAACTTTGATTTTTACATGTATACCACATACCTATGCATAAAAAGGTCTATTTCACATTTAAAAAGTTAAATTGGAGGTATTTTTTATGTGATGATTATAGATTTTGATAGTACAAATGTAAAAAGTAAAGTTTAGGCGTTAGATATATAAACACATTGGAATAGGGTGGTATGTATGTAAATGCCCCTAAAAAAGTGTATTTCACTTTTTAAAAGTTAAAATGGGGATATTTTTGACGTGATATGAAAGATTTTGATGGTATAAATATAAAAAGTAAAATTTTGGTGTTATATATATAAATATATGGGAATTGGGTGGTATGTATGCAAATGCCCTAACCTCTTAATACCACTTGATTGATCAAATGACCTTATGCCTTCCTCTCTGCTTTTTATCATGCAACATGTTCCATCACATTTAAGGTGTGTATTTTATACAAGTTCTGCCTAATCCTCAAAATCTTTGATAAAATTATATTAGGACACATATATTCAAACATCTACTATGGCATTTTTCCTGGCATATACCATTGTACTAAAGCTTTATTGATTGACATAATCAGCTTTAATCTGAACCTACTCATCTTCTCTCTTCTGAAGGTTTCAAACACAGGACAATCTGGCCATGGCTTGAGGCGTCTGTCTCCCCATCCAACTTACAATGGAATAAAAGACGTCTTCACAAGCGTCTACAAGGAAGGAGGAATGCGGTCCCTATATCGCGGTGTCGGTGAGTCATCCTTCATTTTTTATCTTACGCCCAAGTCCTATGTATTTACATTTCTAGGACCTAAACTTTACTTTTTTCCTTTATACCATCCAAATCTTTCATATCACATAAACAAATACCACTATTTTGACTTTTAAAATGTGAAATACATCTTTTCATGCATATGTATGTGATGCATTTGTAAAAATTGAAGTTTAGGCGATAGATGCGTAAATACATAGAATTGAATGGTATATATTTAAATCTCCCTTAAATCATTTATCTAACAATGTTACTGCAATTAAAGTTAGGTGCGTATACATATGTGCCACACAATTCTTACGTATTTACATATCTACCGCTACACTCTGCTTTTTATATTAATATCACCCGAATCTTTCATATCACCTCTAAATTATAATCATTTTCACTTTTAAGATGCGGACTACTCCTTTTCATGTATAGTTAAGGTGATATGTATGTAAAAATTGAAGTTTAGGAATTATTATTATTTTGTTTTGGATTGATTCTATTTTGATTGTTAGTCCCAACTTTTGGCAAGGGAGTGCCGTTATGATATTTATTATTATTATTATTATTATTATTTTATTTTGGATTGATTCTATTTTGATTGTTAGTCCCAACTTTTGGTAAGGGAGTGCCTTTGTGATATTTTTTTTATTTAAAATATTTGGGGAGTTTACATACCTAGCGCCCAATTCTTATGTATTTACATATCTCACATCTAAAGTTTAATATTTACTTAGTGCTTTAAATCTATGCATGAAAAAGTGTATGTTACTTTCAAAAAGGGGCGATGGTGTTATGTGATATTAAAGATTTGGGTGTTAAGTGTATAAATATGAAAGTTTAGGTGTGAGATATGTAAATACAATAGAATTTTGTGCTATGTATGTGAGTGCCCACAAAATATTTTGTTTCTTATGCTCTCAATTTTAATTGGAGGGTCATGTAATTTATCTCAATAATTTAAGGATATGTTTGTGATCAACTTTATTTATTTCATTTTATTTTAAAAATAATTTTAGAGTGTTTTTTTTTTAATTTTTTGAAATAAATCAATGAATTTTAAAACCATTTAAAACAATTGTCGTGTCTTTTAATAAACAAACTAATTTGTTTTCAGCATCCTAAACATGTTTTATTTTAAGTCAAAATATGACTACAAACAAAATCAAAATACAAAATAGAAAACAGGAATGGAAATTTACATACATGCCAAACAATTCTTATGTATTTACATATCTAACCCCCAAAGTTTGATTTTACACTTATAACGTCTTGGTGTCATAAGTTTAACCATGAAAATGCATATTTCACTTTCAAAAAGATAATGGTAACTGATATTTTTTATATGATGTTAAAGATTTGAGTATAAATATGAATGTTTAGGTGGTAGATATGTAAATACATAAGAATTGTGTGGTATGTACGTAAATGCCTTGAACAAAAACATAAAAGAGATCCCAAACGCCCCCCTTAGTAAAAATTATTCTGCTTCCTAACCTCCCATCATGACGTGCAGCTCCAACTCTTATCGGCATCTTACCCTACGCTGGACTAAAATTCTTCATCTATGAAGAACTCAAGTCCCGCGTTCCTGACGATTACAAGAAATCAGTCGGTTTGCGCCTCACTTGCGGCGCATTAGCAGGCTTATTTGGGCAGACTTTAACGTACCCGTTAGACGTCGTCAGGAGACAGATGCAGGTACATTTCTCTCGCTATCTCTAAGCTATATTTTTCTTTTTTACATTTATACCTCCTAAATCTTTCATATCATATCAAAAAAATACCCCCATTTTAACTTTCATGAACTGAAATAAATCTTTTCATATTTGTCTAATGTGATATGTATGTAGGAATTGAAGCTTAGATGTTAAATATGTATATACATCAGAATTGAATGGTATGTATCTAAATATCTAACTTCATCTGATGTACATGATTTTGAAGAATTACATATGACTGCCAATTATTTATCAAATTTACGTCCATTGAATTCCTATGTAAATACTGCCATTATAACTTTTTAAAATTAAAATACATTTTTTTCATATATAGGTAAAGTGGTATGTATGTAAAAAATTGAAGTTTATATGTTTAATATGTATTGACATGGGGGAATTGAATGGTGTGCATGTAAATCTTCTTACTATATAATCATAGTGTATAAGTTCATCTGATGTAAATGATTTTGGAGAATTACAGATGAACACCAATGATTTATCAAATCTGCAGGTTCAGAGCCGGCAGCAATTGAATGATAAACTTAGGGTGCCTCGGATTACAGGCACCGTGCAAGGGGTTTGTGCCATTGTCCGCGAACAAGGGTGGAGGCAATTATTTGCTGGTCTAAGCCTGAACTACTTGAAGGTAAGAAAATGCAATTTCTGAGGTTTCTATGCTAATGTTTTGTAGACCACACATATCTTATGTATTTACTTATAGAACACCTGAATTCTCATATTTTGTGCAAACGTAACACTCAAATATTTTTTTGGAAGATTTACCAACATACCACCGAAATTTACATACATACCACTCAATTCTTATGTATTTACATATTTGCACTTGTAATGCATTGGCGTCATAAACCTGTCATGAAAAAGGGTTTCACTTTTAAAAAAGTAATGATGGTTATATTTTTAATACGATGCTAAAGATTTTGAGTGGTATGCATGTAAATATGAATGTTTGGGAGTTGGCTTTGTAAATACATAAGAATTGTGCGGCATGCATGTAAAAGCCCCTTTTATAATTATGCCAACTAAATTTTTCATATCACAGTAAAAATATTATAATTTTAATTGCTTTTCTATTCAACAAGTAATGCGCTTCGTTTCAATATATATATATTTCACAATTTCCACAAATTGAGCACAACCACTGTTGTTGTGTCCAAATTGAATCTACATTTCTAACATCTTAATTTTGTTTTTTACATTTGTAATTTGTCTAAAAAGTGTGTGTGAAATGTGGAATATTAAAGTTTAGGTGGTGGATATGTAAATGAATCGAATTGTATGGGGGGCATGTATGTAAAATATTTCCAAATTTTGTATACAGGTGGTTCCTTCGGTGGCCATTGGTTTTACTGCTTACGACATGATGAAGGCTGTGCTTGGAGTACCCCCAAGAGACAAATAATGGGTACCCCGCTTCTTCTACTTGCAATACATCCATCATTTTACCGATTACCATTTTTTTTTTCTTTATTTTATAATTTCTATATTTATCAGGCAATAGTAACATAATTATGTGGGATCATCATCATCCCTCATCTTCAGTAATAATAAGGACGATTGTGCTTTGTTGAAAGTGATTGGATTTTTATCATATGATTTAGGATCTATTTGGGACAGTTTATTTGGTGCGGTGCCGTTTTGAAAATTCATCTGACCTGTTTAGGTAAACAATTTTTTGGCAATTTATTCGTTTTCAAAAACACTGAAAACAATATTTTCACACTGCACTTATTTAGATATATGTAATCTTGTTTGTGTGTGATATATATATATAGACGTATTAAAAAATGCGATCTATTTTCAATAATGAGTAAGTCCGTGTCTTTATACCTGCTTCAAAACATTATAACTTGAGATTCAACTCCAAATTTCACATTGACCGTTTTCTAGAACTTTGCTTGTGAATTCAAATAATTTTTATTTATGAAAAAAAATAATATGACCGTTGATAAAAAACAAATTACAAAGAACAGTCATTTACGTTAAATTTTTAACAATGAAACATCTAAAAATTGTTAGGAACTAGTTATTTTACAATAAATAAATAAAAACCTATCAAGTTACAAACAACTGCAAAACCAAAAGTTTCCCAAATATAAATCTAACAGATTTTCATCATAATTTTTTTGGGGCATTTAGATACACACCACACAATTCCAATGCATTTACATACCTAAAACCTAAAGTTTTTACATTTATATCACTCAAATCTTTTGTATCATATCACATCAAAAAATACCATCATATTATCAAAAAAAAAAGTGGAATACACATTTCTAACAAAGCACAAATTAAAATTTAGGTGTTATGTATGAAAATACATTGGAATTTGTGTGGCATATATGTAAATTTTCACTCGAATGAAATCAGGAGCACCACTCATCTTTAGAATAGGCCAAGTTACATTTAATAATTCAAACAAAAGTATTTATAGAATATATATATATATATATATATATATATATATATATAAAGAAGCAAGATCAAATTCCTCT